AGCAGCATTTCCGCATGTCGGTTGGCAGTGAACTGCTGTTGGTTTGCTCCAGCTCTCTGAACAGCTGGTTGAGGACTTCAGAGTTGTTGGTTTGAGGGTCAAGGCACAGCTGACCCGCTGGACACTGGCCCTCCTCGTCCACCTCACGTGTGAACACAAACGGGTGCTCGACTAAAGTCACGACCCGCAATCTGCTCCCCGCCACTGGGAGTCCTGCCTGCCAGCGACCGCCGAGCCTAATCCCTGGACCGCCCTCCCGGTGGTGCTGGGTCATGCCTGGCCACAGGCTCTGCTCCTCTATATCCAGACGGCCCGACTGCCAGCTTGCCACGGTCACCCAACTTGGCTGGCCTAGAGGGTCCCGCTGTAGGCTCCATATGTGAAAGCGCTGGGAGGTGAGGATCCTGGAGAGCGAGCGCTGTACTCGCACCGGGCCTGTCAGCCCCATGAACGAAGTGTTCGACAAGAACCTGAGCACAGCAGGGACATGAGAATTGTGAGGGGAATATAAACACATCCAGGAAAAGCAAAGACAGTGGAGAGATGGCAGAGCAACTGTGTTTTGCTGAATCTCTAGCTAACCGAATCCTAGTAGTGAAAACTAGTCAAATGAATAAATATACCGTACAGAAGTGATTTTTTTTGCTATTTTATGCCTTGTTATATAATAGCATTGATTGATATTCATTGATTTAAGTACTACCAGCATTGTTGTCTGGATTACACTTACATTTTAAGGGATTTTTACCTTTGATAATTAACCCTATAAGCCTCCTGTATAGTATTTAATGAGCAAAAAGGCCTCTAGATTATGAACAAAATCAAAACTTTGATGGAAAACCTGTTGTACACAATCTACCACATGGCTTCGGTCATCTGATTGTATACTTTTTGTACTTTTTAGCAAGTAAAACTAAACTTGCTAGTAATATTTCAAGATGAATACTTATACTGAAGCAACTTAAGTTTAATTGAATATTAAACCATCTTTTTTATTTAGAAAAATCGTTTGTATCATCGTATAAATGTCATTGTATAAATGTTATATATATTTTAGCAGCCTGCCATTTTGTAAGAAATATCTCATTGATTTATTCAATAAATTAAAATTTTATCTTACTTTTGGGGCATTTACATATCAGCAAATGCACCAAATTAAATATTTTTGCTGAGTTTGGGCCTCTGAATAAAATGTTTTTTTTTCTTCTCCTCAAGCATGAGCTCCATATACACCTATACAAGCAATAAAACATGATAGCCAACAAAAAGCACATTTGCATTTTTTTTTCCCAATTTCTTAATTTTTATTTTGTAATGTTCAGTTCAATAAACTGATCCATTAAAGGTTTTTCTGACTATTAAAATGGAGATTTTTTTTCAAAGGTGATGAGATGAACACTGAAGGTGATGAGTTCAGTGTTCATCACCTTTTTCAAAGGTGATGAACACTGACAATATTTTACTCATAATGGATCTAAACCCAGTAAATATGGACATACATTATGATATGTCCATATTTACAGGGTTTAGATCCACTATAAGTAAAATATTGTCAGTGTTCCAAACTCATCACCTTTGACAAAATTCTCCATTTTGAAAACACAAGACCACCTAAGTGCTTAAATGTCAGCCTTGTGTGAAAATGCCATTTGCTCAGTCGATCGCGTGTTTGAAACAGCAATGTGAGCTGCACAGGAACTCAGCGCCCAGGGAATCTCACTGTCGCTGCATGCTTTGGTGAGAACAGCCTTGTGAGAACAGATAAGGTGCAGTTTACCATTTCTGTCCACAAAGTCCATTCATTCCTTTATATAAGCGACAGAATACATAGAATCAATGAAGCAACTGTGTGAGCATCAATAAATAACGATCTTCCCTAATTAAAAAAAATTATAAATTAAAAAATTAAAAATATAGATAATTGTTAATTCTTACAGTGAAAACGTAAGACAATTTTGGAATAATATTTAGATTACATTTATTATCAGCCTATTGTACTTTAAGGGTTAGATGACTTTATTCCCTAAAGAACACTAAAGTAGATTAAAATGTCCCTATGAAAATGTCCATACAATGATGATCACATTCTGGTCATTACAGTATGTGTGTGTGTTAAATAAGGATTTGAACCAAGGTCTCCTTGAATACTTAACACAAATTACACCTGATGATCATGTCTAACTGTCATAGAAAAAAGTGCCACAGCTGTCACAAAGTGCGCTGAAAAAAAATTAGCTGCATGGTGCGTCTGCCAAGATTTAAATAATTATTCCTTATTCAAGAGCAACTGATTGGCACAATGATTATCCTTTTAAATTACATTCCAAAATGTTTAATCTTTAATTCTCAAACAATATGTTTCAGAGCATGCAGGAGGAGAAAAGAATAAGAACAGACGGAAATATAGATCACTCATGAAGCCCACTGAAGTTCAAGGCTTTATTCAAAAACAAAAGGACAGGAGGAACCCGAATCAATCACAGTAGTAGTATGATTCACTTTCTGTCAAAATGATTGATGACCCTATAATTAATGATGACTGATGGGTTGACCTTTTGACCTAGCCCCTCCCCGTGTCCTTGGGTTGACCTTGCCCTATCGGTAACCTTGTTGCATTTGACCTAGTGTGTGACTGGATAATAGGAAGGATAAATATCTCTGGCTTTGCGGGTATAAGGGAATCATTGATATAATGGTTTTATGTTTGACCTTTGACACAAAGCTGCACCGGATCTCCGCAGAACAAGTAAGAAAGGATGGCTGGGGACAGTGAAAGTTGAAAAACATTCTGTTTTTAAAAGTTTAAAGAACTAGCCTACCTCAACTAGCCAACCTTTTCGCTCAGAGAGCCGTCTAACTGAAACCATCTGAAGCGGCCAGGGAGGTCAGTCAGGGGCGCTTGAAAAGCTGCACTGCACGGTACTTCATAATGCAATCCTCGTAGCCAAAAAGCATAAAAATTTAATTTAAAGGGAAACGTGATCGGCAAATTCAAAACTATAGGGTAAATATCGGGATAGCTTTTCCCAGGTGGATAGAGCTAATGAAGGAAAAAGACTTTGAAAGGGACGCTGAAGTTGCCCGCTTTCTTCTCGACAGGTAAGTCAATGTTATGGTCTAAATTTCAAGCTTTTTCATTCCGTGGTTGTGTAAATTCATCATTATGTAGGCAGCATAACGGTAGAACATGTATGATTAAACTCGATGAAGTGCTATTGGAAGACATGTCGTAGCTTCTTGGCACATAACAGTTACCGTAGTTGCAACGCGCATTTGTCATGATAGATTTAGACGGAAGCAAGTGCAAGTTAAACTATTTATTAATTGATAACACAGATAGGCTGTCCAGTGCAGCGGTGAGGGGAAGTATTTCCAATGACGAACAGATATCCAGATAAATCCACAGAACAAGAACCGGAACAGGACAGCCCGTTCTCATCCTTTAGCGCCACATAGAACGCT